ATTTCACCTACAAAAGATGTTATCTTGACTTTTGTACCAATGAAGAATTATCTTCCTAACTACCAAATCTTCACATTAATTCATCTTTGAATCTTGTCAAATTTAACAAATCTCCACCTTGGCAAGATTCTCCATTTTCAACTTTCTCTCAACAACTTTTGATTGTGTCTTCAACCTTAATCTTCAATGTTCAACAATGTTGATCAAGTTCAAACAATGTTGAAACTTGACCGCAGTCACCACTTTGTCAGCATATCGGCAGGATTATCCATAGTATGGATTTTCTTCACTATGACTCCACCTTCTTTGATGATGTCTCATATGAAATGATATCGGACGTCAATATGCTTCGTCCTTGCATGATAAACTTGGTTCTTCGGTAATTGAATAGCACTTTGACTATCACAAAATATTGTGATTCCTTCTTGTTCAATACCAAGCTCTCTAAGCAATCCTTGAAGCCAAATTGCCTCTTTCGCAGCCTCTGTAATTGCCATATACTCTGCCTCAGTGGTAGACAAAGCAACTGTTGACTGCAAAGTAGACTTCCAACTAACTGGTGCGTTTGCAATAGTGAAAACATAACCAGTAGTTGATCTTCGTTTGTCCAAGTCACCTGCATTATCTAAGTCACAATATCCAACAAGATATTGACTATCTTTATGCTAAAAAACCAAGCCAACATCTACAGTACTATGAATATACAGTAGAATCCATTTTACAGCCTGCCAATGATCCTTTCCAAGATTATGCATGTACATGCTTACAACTCCAACAACGTGTGAAATATCTAGCCTTGTGCAAACCATTGCATACATTAAGCTACCAACAACATTCACATATGGTACTCTTGACATATATTCTCGTGCAACTTCATTCTTTAGTGACATAGCATCACTAAGCTTAAAATGAGGAGCAAACAGAGTGCTAACCGACTTCGTCTTCTCATTCATGCCAAATCGATTTAGTACCCTTTTCAAATATTCTTTCTGAGATAAAAAAAGCTTCTTTGAATGTCGATCTCTTTTTATCTCCATGCCAAGAATCCTCTTTGCCTCACCCAAATCCTTCATCTCAAACTCCTTTTTTAGTTGAATCTTTAGCTTCTCAATTTCCTCTTGACTTTTAGAAGCTATCAACATATCATCAACATATAGGAGAAGATATATAAAGGAATCGTCTTCAAGCTTGCGCAAATACACACAATGATCGTATTTGCTTCTTATGTACCTTTGCTGCAACATAAACTTGTCAAATCGTTTGTACCATTGTCTAGAAGATTGTTTCAATCCATACAACGATTTTTCAAGTTTGCACACCATATTTTCTTTTCCATCAACTTTGAATCCTTCTGGCTGAGTCATGTAGATTTCCTCTTCCAAGTCTCCATGTAAAGATGCAGTTTTTACATCCAACTGAACTAGTTCCATATTCAACTGTGCTACCAAAGCCAACAAAACTCTAATGGAGGAGTGTTTCACAACTGGAGAAAATACCTCATTATAGTCAATTCCCTCATTTTGAGCGTATCCTTTGGCCACCAATCTTGCTTTGTAGCGAACATCTTCTTGGTTAGGAAATCCTTCTTTCTTTGCAAATACCCATTTGCACCCAATTGCTTTCTTGCCATCCGGGAGATTAGCCAATTTCCATGTATGATTCTGATAAAGGGACTGTATTTCTTCATCCATGGCAAACCTCCACTTATCTTCTTCTGAACTTTGGACTGCATCTTTATAAGTGGTAGGAATGTCATCCGCTGAAATTGAGTTCGCACAAACCACCACATCTATGAGTCGAGCAGGTTTTCTTATTGTCCTTTTTGGCTTGCTGGTTGCTATTGATTCAAGTTGTGGTTGAGGTTCTTGAGATGGAACCTCCCTTTCGACTGGCTCTTCTTCCAGAGGAAAAACTTTTGTTGTTTCCTCATTTGATCCATGTGTTGGGAAAATTATCTTTCCCTCAAACTCCACCTGCTTTGAAGCACCATCAGTTTGTTTGACTTCTTCAACTGCTACCTTATTTGTCAAGGCAGATTCAGCAAAGGTAACATCCCTATAAAGGTAACATCTCTGCTGAAAATAATTTTTCTCGTCTCTGGACACCATAAACGGTATCCTTTGACTCCAGAAGTAATCCCCATAAATAAAGCTTTCTTTGCTCTTGGGTCCAATTTTGACTCTCTTACATGATAATATGCAATTGAGCCAAATACATATAAAGAACCATAATCTTCAGCAGGTTTTCCATACCATTTTTCTAATGGTGTTTTCCCACCTATAACAGCAGATGGTAGACGATTAATGAGGTGGCATGCATATGTTATTGCCTCAACCCAAAATTCTTTGCCCAAGCCAGCATTGGACAACATACACCGAACCTTCTCTAACAAAGTTCGGTTCATGCATTCTGCCACTCCATTCTGTTGTGGTGTATTTCTGACGGTGAAATGTCTGACGATGCCATTTTCCTCACAAATTTTCTGAAAAATATCATTTTTGTATTCTCCACCATTGTCTGTGCGAAGACACTTGATCTTTTTGCCACTTTGAGTTTCTATCATCGCCTTCCATTTGAGAAAAATTTCCAATACTTCATCTTTTGTTTTCATCGTATACACCCACAGTCTTCGGGAAAAGTCATCAACAAAGATTACAAAATAGTGTTTCCCACCTAATTAAGGTGTTTTGGAAGCACCCCAAACATCTGAATGAACAAAATCCAAAATACCTTAGTATTATGGATAACCGTATACACCCACAGTCTTCGGGAAAAGTCATCAACAAAGATTACAAAATAGTGTTTCCCACCTAATTAAGGTGTTTTGGAAGCACCCCAAACATCTGAATGAACAAAATCCAAAATACCTTAGTATTATGGATAACTGTTCCAAATTTAACCCTTGTTTGCTTTCCCTTGACACAATGCTCACAAAACTTCAAGTTGCAAGTTTTTACTCCTTTTAGAAATCCTTGATCTGATAGAGTTTTCAAGGATTTTCCTCCAGCATGTCCCAAACGCATATGCCACAGCCTGGTCATTTCTGCCTCCTTGTCGTCATTGGATGTTGTTACTGCTGTCCCAATAACTGTACTACCTTGATAGTGGTACATGTTATTATTTCTTCGAATTGCCTTCATTACCACCAGCGCACCGGAGCATATTCTCATTACGCCATTATCTGCAATGACTTTGAATCCATTTGACTCTAGGGCTCCAACAGAAATGAGATTCTTCTTCAAATCCGGTACATACCGAACATCTGTTAATGTTCTGGTCAATCCATCATGATTCCTTAATTGAATTGAACCAACACCATATGCGGTAAGAGGATTATTGTTTGCGGTGTGAATAACTCCACATTCTCCTTCTTGTAAATCAACAAACCAGTCCCTATTGGGACACATATGATAGTTACAAGCTGAGTCCATTAACCATACATAAGATGATTTGGATAGATCTGTTGTAACTAGTGAGTAATTGGAGTCATCACAATCAACCACATTTGAATCCATGACAGCCTTCCAATTATTTGGTTTGGCTTTGCTTTTCAACTTTGGGCAGTCTTTCTTCCAGTGCCTTTTTTCTCGGCAAAAGGCACATTCATCTTTGCTGAGTTTGGATCTTGACTTGGATCTCCCATTCTTTGTTCTCACATGATTTTGAGAACGACCTCTCACAATCAGAGCTTCTGCTTCTCCGCCATTTTGTTTTTCTCTCTTTCTTTGTTCATAACTATATAAGGCAGAACAAACTTCTTTGAGAGATACTTCATCATTCCCATGCAGCAGAGTAGTTTCAAGTTGCTCGAACTCATCAGGAAGTGAACTTAATAACACTAAGGCCATATCTCCATCCGTAAAAGTCACGTCCATATTTCGCAAATCTGTCGCCAACTTATTAAAGCTGGTGATATGATCATTCACTGTGCTACCAGGAATATAAGTGAAGCGTAACAGTCTTCTTTTCATGTAAAGTTTATTTTGACTGTTTTTCTTCGAGAATTTCTCCTCCAATGAATTCCATAATTTATTTGCAGATGTTTCCTTTGTGTATGGATACTTTTGTTCTCTTGCTAGGTAAGATCGAATGGTAACCGCAAGCAACACGGTTGATAATCTTCCAATCTTCTTCTCCTACACCGTCTGGTTTCTTTCTTTTATGGCAATATCTAGCCCTTGTTGAAAAAGAACATCAAGGACCTCGCCTTGCCACATTCCGAAATGTCCTGATCCGTCAAAAATTTCAATTGCAAATTTTGCATTTGACACAATTTGTGTCATAAGTGAAGATGCCAATGATGACGTATTATTGAGATTCGATGTGGACTCATCATTTTTATTGTCTCCCATTTTTGCTACAAATACTATTTACTAGCTAACAATGCAAAGATCAAAGTAAATCTTTTATGATGTGGAAGTTCAGACTGTGCTGCAACCACAGAGCATACTCAGATAATACCTTGGCTCTGATACCAATTGTTGCGGAAGCCGAATATATAGAGAGTGATGAAATCACAAATGCTATATCTAAAGGTAGCTAATAAATAGTAGATGAGACAACAATAAAAAAAACACCAGGAATTAACGAGGTTCGACAAACTTTTGTTTTCTTTTGCCTACTCCTCGGACACAACCAACCAATATTTATTTCACTCCAAAAGAGTACAAGTGAAATACTACGAGAGAGAAAGAATATCAAATGCCTTTGAAGATGAGAAGGCAAGTGAGAGGTGTGTTACAAATGTATTAGGAACTACCTATTTATAGGAGTGAATTCTTCCTATTTATGTCATCCATGACATCACAATGTGTCAAAATGTCAAGATTTACCTTGTGAAACCATTTTATGGTTCACCTAAATTTCACCTACAAAAGGTGCTATCTTGACTTTTGTACCAATTAAGAATTATCTTCCTAACTACCAAATCTTCACATTAATTCATCTTTGAATCTTGTCAAATTTAACAGTCATCACATCAAATTTAAAGATTGGCTATATTGAAAGTTCATACAAGAATTTTAGGTTGTAAGGTGCTACAACATCTGGAGTTCCATTCCATAGTAATTCTGAGTATTTTTGGTAGGCATGCTCAGAGGGATGAGTGGAGTCAAAAACAAGTAATCTTTCACATTGTTACATAACTCGTACTCTTTTACCTGCCAATTCCCTCCACAGCTAGGAATCCCTCGCAATGGACCTGTTCCACAACAAGCCGTCTCTGATATCTTAACACCTAAACAAAACAGAAAAAAATCACAAGTAAATTAAGACCGAGGAAACATTTTTTATATAACAACAAACATTTGATTATGTGTTTTCTCTACATATATAGTTTGTGTAATTTCATTTTGTTTTGAACATTGCATCTACATTCTACTTTGTTAGCAGAGCCATGAAATTGCTGCTTCAGTGAAATCTGTTGATCCATTCTCTTTTAAGGGGAAGGCGAGATTACAAGGTGAGAATTTAGCTAGTCAATCAGTTGAGCTACTAAGATTCTCTTCTATGATCAATTCTGGTTCTTTCTTTTACTCTTTCTTTTTTTATGGTTTCTCAGCCCATGACTATACCAGCATAGGAGTCCAACTAAATCTAGATTCTCACGGGGAGTGCTACATTGAGGGTAAAACTCTTTTTAACAAAGACAGTTCCATACTCAAATGCTCGAACTTGAGACCTCTGGTTAAGAATGAAAAAGTACTTACCATTCCACCAACTCCTATTGGAACTTCTTGGTATAATATCTATTCCTAACATAAAAATACTTGATTTTGACTTCAATGAGGTAGAACATACCATATTTTGTTGGATTATGAATGCTATCTGCAACTACTTTGAAGAAGTTGAATATTGTATACTTAAATCCAGGCAATTGTTTCTCCAGTTGTTTGAGCATTTTTGGAAGAGCTGAATTAAACATTTTGGCCAAGTTTGTGGCCTTCTCCATGCAACTTCCATTTGTAACTCTTTTTTGAAGGTTGAAAGCCCTAACAGAAGGGAGACAACCAAATGGACCCAAATTAAGCATCACAAACTTTCTCCCTCCTTCCTTGTAAATCCCCTGTTGCATTGATAGATAGTAATAACTCAGTTAAGAAAAGGTAATAACCAATAATTAAGGTGTGAGTTATGAAAATATGATAGTTTACATATGTTTTTGATTCTTTAAGCACAGTACAAAGAATTATTTATAGCTTATTTAGCCAACCTTCTAGAAAGTCAACAATTATTTTTTAAACGAAAATTGAGGTGTTTGACTTTTTTTTAGAAAACAAATAAGTACTTCTAAGTAGTCGCAGAAGAAGTTGTTTTTAACCCTCAACCAAGTTCAAGTTTCTACTCTAACTAGATATGGACACGTGCGTTGCACGTGTATTCCTATCAAGTATTTCAAACCTTTTAAAATGACATGAATATTGATAAAACATACATGTGTAAGTGTTTCCAATTTCAAAGTGAAAATACAATTTTTCATGTGAAAATATATGTTGCAACAATATAAACAATTGCAAAAGACACTATAACTTGAAAAATATATTTCAAGTAGAATATGGAATAATCTTGCTGATTTATATTAGTAAAATCTAAACAAAATGAAGCTTAATTACTCCTTTCTTATAATATTACAATCAAAATGTCCAAGAGCAAAATTGTCATCACACCAACCATTTGAGTTTTAACACTACAGAAAACTATCATCTATATAGATTACTCATATTTAAGAAAATTATTAGGCTTAGTGTCGCACAAATGTAAATGGGACTCTCATTTTTATTTGAAAATTAAGTTTTATTCTCATTCATAAAAATCGTAGAAAAATTAAAAATAAAACAAAAAAGGTGAAAATGAACAATACAGGTATGTGTTCACAACAATATATTAGATAGACGATAAAATAACATAATTAAAATCTTTCATTCAAAGTAACAGTTATTTAGCAATCTTTATTTAAATTAACTTGAATTTTGACAATTTACAATATGGATATATGAGTATATTGCATAAATTATTCAAGTATTATCAAATGCATCATATATTAATAGAGGTTTTATCGATTAATTAAGTAACACTTACAAGAACAATAACACAACAACAAATAAAAATAAATTTCCACAACAATATCGCAAGATGATACAAGAATTACATAAAAATATGGATTGCATACCAAATTTAATTTTGACAACCATACCTCGACTCCAAAATGGGAAAGAAAACTTAAAATCATGAGGTAATAAACAAAAGATCTCAAGGAATAGGAGTTCAACTATTCTACGGTAAGAAAGCTTCTTTTTTTAACTTCAGAATGATGTCATCTATTCTTCTCCTCAGTTCTTGACGACATGTTATATCATTATCTAGAAAGAAGATTAGAGAACGTAGATAACAAAAAAGAAAAGAATATGATGATCTAGGGACAAACAAATTGTGGTTATAATTTACTGATATTTATAGTGATATTTAACTATCTTTACACCTAACAAAACTCAATAATGGGACACATTGAATCATGACACATACATTTTATTTTTGGTTTCATAATTCAAAGAGTCATTGATTGGAAGAGTTTCGTACAATGTTTTATCTTCTACTTTAATTAAATTAATTAATCTAATCAATTATAATTATAATGCCATAACACAAGAAACAAAATGTAGTTGTTGGGCTTCATATATATTATTATAAATTTGAAAGATGAGGTTGAATGAATATTAAGTTGATTACCTTCAATACAGAAGTCAAATTCCCCATAATCATATGTACATGTCCTCTATCGTAATTTGGGGAAGTCGAATTTGCTAATAAAGGGGCGACGAAATCATTACTGCCACTGCTAAAAATATATACACCATTGGAGAGTATCTGTTTCGACTCTGTTTTCCCCACTTTCATCTTCAACAGTTTTCCCGCGTTTTTGAAATATTTCAACTGACTACTAAGATCTATAACCTGTCAAATGGAAACAAACAGTATCAAATTCAAACAATAATTACATAAAAGGAAATATTCTTACTTACAGAGCCACGATTGGTTTCAGCCAAACAACCAGAACCGCCTGATGCAAAGTTTACTCCATCAACCAAATGTTTCTTCCCAATTTCAAAATACGGCGAAATAAATGGCAAATTAGCATATTCAGCTGCAAAATACAACTAACTATAATTATGTTCAGGTCAGCTTGCGCATAAGTTGATTATCTACTACCTCCCACAATTAAATACTTTTCAAAGAATTGACGAAATCCAAATAAATTTACCGATAAAATCAGGAATGAGATGTCCATTGGAGGCCCTGCCAGTAGGGTATTTGAAGAATGATTCTCCATAAGGAAAATAATTTGCTTTGAAGCTAACAGTGAAGTTGATGTAATTATTATTTCCAGCATCAAAAACTGAATCACCGAACACGAAAAGGGCAGCTTGATGAGGTCTTTTATGGCACACAATTGGGGTGGAAAAATGTGCAACCAAAACAAAGATGCACAAACTTGAGATCAAAGCCATTATTGGTTTGGTTTATATTTGCACGGAGTTGGTAATATATATAGTACTAGTGAAGTGCAGAATGATTAATTAAAAAAAATACTTGTTTGCAAAGGCGGAGTCAGGATTAAGAGTCTAGGATTTAGAATCGTCAATTAATTTTGTTAGGGGTTTACAAATTAATATACATATATATTTAATTAATTTTCTAGTATAAATACAAGGTCTACGAAAAGACTACTGATTTCATCTGAACCCACGAACCCCCACATAGCTCCGCCTCTACTCGTCTGCATCCACTATCCACTCTATGTAAAGAGTAAGTTTTTCAATTGATTGAAAGAGTTTTTTTTTTTTTAAAAAAATCAAAGACCCCAGGGCCACTTTATTAAAACAAAATAATATGTACACTCAGGTGTCCCAGTGTGTGCTGGCTGACAATCATTAACTTAGCAAACATGATGTAAAATATTTATAAAAATTCAATTGAACCAAACACTTGACACCACATTCCCAAAGATTATTTGATTTAATACAAATTACTACTCCCACCCGTCCCGATTAGTTGTCTTTGTTTCTTTAGAGTTAGTATTATAAAATGAAGTACCAAACACATGGGGAGGTTTCTTTGTATCTTTTCATGATGCATAACATCAACTCCCAGTCTAGCATTTTCTCGCTTTTCTTTCAGGTGAGTAACTCAGACACATATATATTTACATTGATTTAGTATTTCAGAGTATACCTTGACCTCGATAACTCTAATCTACATTCATGTTCATCTTCTTAAGGTCCAATAATGGATGAAAGCAGAGAAAGAGAAGAGGGAAATTTTTAATTGATCTCAACCAAATGAACATTGCATTTATTCCAACTTATTTCTGAACTGAGATATGAAGTAATCACATCAAATCTAAAGATTGGCTATGTTGAAAGTTCAAAAAAGGACTTTAGGTTGTAAGGTGCTACAACATCTGGAGTTCCATTCCATAGTAATTCCGAGTATTTTTGGTAGGCTTGCTCAGAGGGATGAGAAGAGTCAAAAAACAAGTAATCTTTCACATTGTTACATAACTCATACTCTTTTACCTGCCTCTTCCCTCCACAACTAAGAATCCCTCGAAAGGGACCCGTTCCACAACAAGCCGTCTTTGATATCTTAAAACCTAAACAAAACAGAACAAAATCACAAGTAAATTAAGACTGAAGAAAAATTCTTTACATCAACATACTACTTTGTTAGCAGAGCGATAAAATTACTGCTTCAGTGTTTAAACTGAATATTAAAGACAGACAAGAAAACAACTCATATACATGATTTTCTGTTATATCTTTCCATTTCCTTTTTGTTTGTTTCGAGAAATCTATTGATCAATTCTCTTTTAAAAGGCAAGTGAGATTACAATGTGGGGAATCGAACCCTCACCAACAAGGTGAAAATTTAGATAATCAATCAGTTGAGCCATTAAGATTCTCCTCTATGATCAATTCTGATTCTTTCTTCTACTTTTTTTTAATGTTTCTCAGTCCATATGTGATACCAGCAATGGAGTCCAACTAAATCTAGATTCTCACGTGGAGTCCTACATTGAGGCCTGAGGGTAAAACTCCTTTTAACAAAGATAACTCCATACCCAAATGCTCGAACCCGAGACATCTGGTTAAGATTGAAAGAGTACATACCACTCCACCAATTCATATTGGTACTTCTTGTTAAAACAGCTATTCTTACATAAATCAACAGTGCACAATATATAATTGAATATCAAAATACTTGATTTTGACTTCAATGAGATAGAAGATACCATATTTTGTTGGATTATGAATGCTATCTGCAAATACTTTGAAGAAGTTGAATATTGTATACTTAAATCCAGGCAATTGCTTCTCTAGTTTTTTGATCATTTTTGGGAGAGCTGAATTAAACATTTTCGCCTTGTTGGTGGCCTTCTCCATGCAACTTCCATTTGTAACTCCTATTTGAAGGTTGAGAGCCCTAACAGAAGGGAGACAACCTAATGGACCCAAATTAAGCATCACAAACTTTCTTCCTCCTTCCTTGTAAATCCCCTGTTGCATTGATAGATAGTGATAGTTCAATTAGAAAAAGGTAATAACTAATAATTAAGGTGTGAGTTATGAAAAAATGATAGTCCACGTGTTTTTTTTTTATTCTTATCTCTTTAAGCAAAGTACAAAGAATTATGTATAACTTATTTAGCCAAACTACTATTCAACAAAATAAATTGGAAAGATGAGTTAAGTTGATTACCTTCCATACAGAAGTCAAATTCCCCATAATCATATTTTGATATTCTCTATCAGAATATGGAAAAGTCGAATTTGCTGATAAAGAGGCAAATATATCATTATTGGCAGTGCTAAAAATATATATAGCATTTGAGAGGATCTGTTTGGACTTTCTTCTCCCCACTTTCTTCTTTAACAGTTTTGCGACGTTTTTGAAATATTTCAACTGTGTTTGAAGATCTATAACCTGTCAAATGGAAACCAACATTTAAAAATAAATTAAAAAATTCCACCTAATATTGATCTAACTATCAAATTGAAACAAGACTTACAAAGCCACGAGCGGTTTCAGCCAAACAACCAGAACCGGCTGAAGCAAAATTCACCCCATGATTGAAATGTTTCTTCCCAATTTGAAAATACGGCGGAATTACTGGCAAATTAGCATATTCAGCTGGAAAATACAACCAGAAATCAAATTCTTCACCCATGTGTCACTACAACAAAAATAACTTTTAGCGGCAATAAATATTGACATTAATAAAGAGTGCTAATGTCTTAACCGGCATTAGTTAAGTGTCATTAGAATCAATGTCGCTAAAGGCTTTAGGGACATATACAAAGAGTGTTAATTGCCGCTAAAAATACATATTTAGCGGCAATGATCATTTTTTATGTAGTGTGTTCGGGTTAGCTTGAGCTTTCGGGCAATTTTGATTTTGGGGGCCCCAACATTGAGTGAGATGGGTGTGCTCTGATACCTTGTGAAATTAGGTCTTAGACTAACTCATACCCCAAAATCTAGCTCAAAGAGGGGAGGATTGCTCAATCCTTATAAGGAGTCCACCCATCACATTAACCACCAATGTGAGACTTTTGTCATTCTTTAACACCGCAATTAAATACTTTTTCAAAAATTGACCAAAACGCGATTAAATTTACCGATAAAATCAGGAATGAGGCGTCCATTGGAGGTCCTGCCAGTAGGGTACTTGAAGAATGATTCTCCATAAGGTAAATAATTTGCTTGGAAGCTAGCAATGGTGTTGATGTAATTATTATTTCCAGGATCAAAAATTGAATCACCGAACACGAAAAGGGCAGCTTGATGAGATCTTTTATGGCACACAACTGGGGTGGCAAAATGTGCAACCAAAACAAAGATGCAGAAGCTTGAGATCAAAGCCATTATTGGTTTGGTTTATATTAATTGCATAGAGTTGGAAATATATATAGTACTAGTGATGTGCAGAATTATTAATAAAATAATACTTGTATGCATCCACTATCCACTCTATGCAAAGAGTAAGTAAGTTTTTCAATTGATTGAAAGAGTGTGTGCTGGCTGACAACCATTAACTTACCAAACATGTTAAAACATGATGTAAAGTCTTAAATATATTCAAAAGTCAACTGAGTTATGAAGGAATTAGAATTTGTGTTTAGGTACATATTAACGTTTCTTCTATGTATATATATATACCATGAGAATATGTCATTAAGGGTTAAATGAGAAATTTGGACTTAAAATCTATAAATACAGAATTTTGTCGTTCATGATTAAAAAATAAAATGAAAAGGAGTAAAAATGTCTTTAAACTATAGATCTAAAAGAAAGTTCTTACCGTCAATAGTTTGGTCCAAACGTTCTTATTGTTACTTAATAAGTCAAAAATGTAGGTTTTCCAAATAAGTATATATTTTTTTCTTTTTAAAAACATATGTTTTCTAATGATGATTGTTTTTTTATTAGAAAATGTTTATGATTTGTTTTTTTTCTTAAAAATAATTCAAATGGGTTTTAGAAATTAGGCTGATTTTTTTTTTTAAAATAAAAATTAATGATGTGGCCGAATCATCGTTCACCACGTGGGAAAAATGATTTTGCAAAACTAGATGGATTTTTAGTTAACCCATAATGGTATGGATTAGTCTTTTTCTCAAACGAAAATGATAGATGAGCCAACTTTTAATGGATAGTATAAATGAGTTTTTTCTCAAAGTTCGATGACATATTTGAGCCTTTTTCCTTTATTATTTAGTAATTCTATCTTAGCTTTTACCTTACCTTTATTTAGTAGCTCTACCTCGTACCTTCTATTCTTGTAGGTTTATCATTCAAATTGTTTATGTATAAACATTATGTAACAATGGAGAATGTAAAACATTACATGAATTATGACACATTACAACACAATACAATACATTATGAAACAATATGTAACGACCACTCAAACAAACAATTAATAGAATTGTCATCATGTTATGTTGAAAGTTCAAAAAAGGAGTTTAGGTTGTAAGGTGCCACAACGTCTGGAGTTCCATTCCACAATAATTCCATTTATTTATGGAAGGCCTTCTCAGAGGGATGAGAAGAGTCGAAAAACAAGTAATCTTTCACATTTTTACATAACTCGTACTCTTTTACCTGCTTCTTTCCTCCACAACTATGAATCCCTCGAAATGGACCTGTTCCACAACAAGCCGTCTCTCATATCTTAAAACCTAAATAAAACAGGACAAAATCATTGGTGCATAATATATAATAATCAAACATAAAAATACTTGATTTTGAGTTCGAAGAGATAGAACATACCGTATTTTGTTGGATTATGAATGCTATCTGCAAATACTTTGAAGAAGTTGAATATTTCTTGTGATTTGACTTGATTCTGATTCATTTCTTTATACCATATTGTAGCATGTTTGCTCCTAGAAATTCTTTTAGTTGGGATAAAATGTCACAAAGAAATAGTCACTTGAATAATAATGACTAATGGGCATTATTCATTTCTTTATACCATAACATTGTTATTAAATAAAAGTGTACCTTACTAACTCTCCTTTCTTAGAATTGTTAATATTACTTTAATATTTTTTTTCAAGAATAACCTTTTTTTTTTTGTAATCAAACCACTTATTCTAGAGTTGTATATTATTAAAATAAAGTGCCAAGCACATGGAGAAATTTGTTTATATTTTTCCATGAAGCATATGGATATTGTCAATATGCCTCAAAATTAGAGTGAGACGTGATTGGCATTCGACTTTAATGGACCGTCAAGTCTAAAATTGTATTGAAAACAAAAATTGAAATTCATAATTATCTACTGAGATATGAAGGTATCTCATCAAATCTAAAGATTTTCACAAACAAGAACAGAAAAATTACAAGAGATCAAGCTCTTTAACATCATGTTTCACATTGTTTATTCTTCGTATAGTAGCAATTGTGAGGTGCTACGACATTTGGAGTTTGAATGTTCGAAAAAGGATTTTAGGTTGTGAGGTGCTACGACATCTGGAGTTCCATTCCACAGTAATTCGGCGTATTTCTGGTAGGCCAGCTCAGTGGGATGAACAGAGTCGAAAAACAAGTAATCTTTCACATTGTTACATAACTCATACTCTTTTACCTGTCTCTTCCCTCCACAACTAAGAATCCCTCGAAATGGGCCTGTCCCGCAACAAGCCGTCTCAGATATCTTAAAACCTAAATAAAACAAAACAAAATCACAAGTAAATTAAGACTAAGGAAATATTCTTTATATATAAAAATTGAACATTTTACTCTGTGTTTTCTCTACATAATATTACAATTCAAGAACCATAATTTAATTTATTGCCAGAGCCATGAGATTTCTGGCACAGTGGTATGATAACTATTCTTACATAAATCAACAATGCAGAATATATAATGGAACATAAACATACTGGATTGTTGAGTTCGATGAGATAGAAAATACCATATTTTGTTGGATTAGCAATGGCTTTGAAGGCATTGAAGATTATATACTTAAATCCAGGCAATTGCTTTTCCAACGCTGTTTGAGCATTTTTGGAAGAGCAGAATTAAACATTTTCGCCATGTTTGTGACATCCTCCATTTGTAACTCCTTTTTGAAGGTTCAGAACCTTAATAATAGGAATACAACCTAAGGGACCCAAATTAAGTATCACAAACTTTCTCCCTCCCTCCTCGTAAGTTCCCTGTTGCATTAATTCAAAGAGATATGGTCAAAAACACATTTTTACGGAGTACCTTTAATACAGAAGTCAAATTCTCCATAATTATCTGTATATATTCTGTATCGGAATATGGAAAAGCCGAAATTGCTAATAAATCATTATTGGCAGTGCTAAAAATATATACAGCATTGGAGAGGATCTGTTTGGACTCTGTTTCACCCACTTTCTTCTTCAACAGTTGCGTCATGTTGTGGAAATATTTCAGCTGTGTTTTAAGATCTGTAACCTCTCAAATGGAAACCAACATTTTTTTATGATGCTGAAACAGTAGCAATTCGTCAAGAGTTGGAAAACGCTATGGAAATTGAATGGTCAAAGTTACAAAGTTTGTCTCATACTGATAAGAAGTATAGTTTCATGGAAGGTAGAGGCTATTTATGAAGTTTCTTTAAATATGTATGTGTTCTACATATGGTAATGCACAATTTAGCTAAGTTTTCTGTTTCCTTGTTACATAAGGTTGTTTTGATTTCTGTTTTCCCAAGTTGAATTGTAATTGTTGTAAAATAAAATTTTTAAAAAATGCCACTTACGAAGCCACGACTGGTTTCAGCCAAACAACCAGAACCGCCTGATGCAAAGTTTACTCCATCAACCAAATGTTTCTTCCCAATTTCAAAATACGGCGGAATAAATGGCAAATTAGCATATTCAGCTGCAAAATACAACTAATTATAATTATGTTCAGGTCAGCTTGCACATAAGTTGATTATCTACTATCTCCCACAATTAATATTTTTCATAGAATTGACGAAAACGCGAATAAATTTACCGATAAAATCAGGAATGAGGCGTCCATTGGAAGCCCTGCCAGTAGGGTACTTGAAGAATGATTCTCCATACGGCAAAAAATTTGCTTGGAAGCCAGCAGTGGTATTGATGTAGTTATTATTTCCTGGATCGAAAATTGAATCACCGAACACGAAAAGGGAAGTTTGATGAATATGGCTGTGAATACACGCACACAATTGGGGTGGCAAAATGTGCAACCAAAACAAAGATGCACAAGTGAAACAATGCCATTAGAGTTGTTGAACAACTTAATTGTGAATCATCAATAATTTGTTTGGTTTATATTTGCATAGAGTTGTAAATAAATATAGTACTAGTGGTGTGCTGAATAATTAAAACAAAAAATTGCACAGAGTTGAAAATATGTATAGTAGTGATAGCGTGCAGAATGATAAAAGAAAAATATTTGCATAGTGTTGGAAATATATATAGTAATAGTGGTGTGTACAATGATTAAACAAAATATTTGTCTGCATCTACTATCGACTGAGGTTAAGACTAAGTTTATTTTTCAATATCTTGGTAGAGAGTTGGCTGGCTGAAGTCAATGTCACAAAGCTCGTTTTTTTGTGACAATAATTAATCAAGTTGCGGAAACCGTTCCATTTTCAAAAAAAATATTTGTAGGGGTGCACTTTCAGATAGTTCGGATTGGATATGAAAACTTCGATTTGAATTTTTTGTTTTCGGATTGTAAGAAAATAAAATCCAAACAAGTCCGGATGGGATCGGTGGTGTTGAGCAAGTTGAGTTACTCCTCTTACAAAAATGAACGTCTTAATAAAGCATTCATGTCAAATTACTTAAATAATTTCTCCTTCCCACTACAAATCATCCAAATAAAACCAAAAATGATTAGTTTTTTTCTTCTGAAGTCAATGGCATGAAATTCGTTTAATTCTCCCTGAAAATAATTCAGTTTGAAATGCAATTTCTAGCTACAGTCACTTTGTAAATAAACCTCACGATAGCAGTCTGATCTCACTTGGAAAGTCGTCTAATTTTTCCAAGTGAAACAACTTGACAAAGCTTCACTTTAAAACCGTCAGAGGGGTATCCTGCTTGTTGTTTACAAAAAGAGTATGTTTTCTAATATCTAAGAGTTAGTGGTTGAAAACGTGAAGTATCACATTTTTATGAATTTCATATCTGAACTATCGGGTGTTCATGTTTCATACATGAACTACAGGTGTGTTTTTCACCACAGAGTACAAATTCTTATGATCATCAATAGTTCCAAAGCTTCTATTTTGTTGGTGATGTGAAGTTTTGATGATTTAACAAACGTTGGAAATAATGAAACAAGGGGACCAATCCAGTTACCTGAAGAGTCATGATTATAGGGGGAATGAAATCTAGCTGAAAGGGATTGGTGACAGGGGAAATGAATGAATAAACTCAGCGTGAGGAATGTTTGTTTGTCATCATCAAAAAGGGGGAAAATGTTGTATTCTAGGTGTTTTGATGATCCTCACAAATGCAGGGACTTGGTCTCTGGCAGAGTGCTCTCGTTCAAGTTCAAAATGGTGTACAACTGTAAAGCTGTTTGGTTGGTGAAAAGTGCAGTGTACTACACCAATAGGAAGGGCGGACGAGCTTGTTTGCTTCAGTGGTCAAAACTCTTCTTGGTGATTGATATATACGACAATAAACAAACAACATTATTCATTCGAAAAGAGAGAGCTAGCAAGTCGTTTCAAGAAATTAAGTATCAAAGAACACACTGCAAGTGTAACACCCCGTATTCGCAACAGACCAAAAATGCAGATTTTGAGAAGCTCCAGGTGCAACCCACGTTTGCCATCCACGGACCGTAGGTTAGACCACGGCCCGTGCTGCTGGTCCGTGGTTCACCACTGAAACCCCTCCCAGACCCAGCTCAGAAAATTGGCTAAGTCCCGACTCACGGACAAACCCACGGTCCGTAGATCAGACCACGGTCCATGGTCTGTGTCCGTGGATTGAGACCTCCTTTACCCAGCCTCTGACACAAACTACGGTCGACCAGCACGGACCGTCATTTGATCCACGGTCAGTAGGTCTGACCGTAGATGAGGGTCATCAGCCAGTTAGCTGAAAATTGTTGATGGATTAACTTCATATGGTCATAACTTTTAGCACAAAAATAATTGTGTGTCCCATAACCTATGATATAATAGATAATCGAATCCTCTTTCCAACGCCACCGAGTTTGCTAAAATCCGACCTCCGAGTGAAAAGTTATGCTCGTTTTAAGTGAAGCCCTGTCAGGCAGACTCGATCGATGACTCCAATCGACGGACCGTCGATTGACCTACGGCCCGTCAGTCCAATCTGTCGATCACTCCGACAGCAGTTAATTCAGGATTTTTTGGGTCTTTTCCTATTTCGTTTAACCCCTAAGATACGTCGTTTAGACCCTAAATCATGAGGTTTTAATCAGTTTAAACCTAGAAACATAATTAGAACTTACCTTAGTCAAAATCATTAATCAAAACTTAGAAAATTAGAAGCAAGAGAGGAGAAAAAGGTCAAGAACCCTAGTTCAAGAACGCAACAAGGTTCCATTAGTTCCAGACC